GTTGATTGACCTGGATTTCGATGGGGTTGATCCGACCATAGGCGATGATGCGCTGATAAAAAGTAATCTTAGAATTATGTATCGCCAGATGGTTTCCAATAGTGTCACGCCCAAGCTGTTCTTCGGCAGCGCTTATGTAGCCGGAGACGAGCCATCACCGGGTAACGCTTTTCTTTTTTCCAACTTTTTCCCAACTCTCTATGATATTTTACACTTTGAGCATAAGCTCTCATGCAACAATGGAGAGAGTATTCTTTGTTTATAAAATCATGATTATTCCCTAAATTAGTCGACGTGGGACTTTCATCATCCAACACCTTCCCTCGAACAAAGGCTCGACTCCTTTGGAGTCTTAGTAATTTTTGGCCTTCGAGGAGACTTAACTCCTTTTCTTTTGGAGTCCTTTGTTCGATATTTGAGAATTTACTAATCTATTGGCACGACTAAGTTTAGGGCATGACTCTGATACCATGTTAGACGAACATGACTCTCCACAATGGTATGATATTGTCTCAGTATAAACTCTCATGGATTTACTCTAGGTTTCCCAAAATGTGGTATGATATTGTCTCAGTATAAACTCTCATGGATTTACTCTAGGTTTCCCAAAATGGCATACACGAATGGACAAAGTATTGTTTATTTAATTTCTATTCTGAGTACGATGGAGGTTAGTTTTGTGGTGGGATAGAAGGGTAGTTAATTAACTTAGTATACACAAAATGACAGGAGGTGGGTCAGTGGAGAACATCCCACACAATACGGTCCACACATGGTGCGGCGACAACAAGAAGCCCAACCTAGAGAACATGGGCAACTTCTACTCCGCGGCCAGAGATCCCATCTTCTACTCCCACCACTCCAACGTAGACCGCATGTGGTCCGTCTGGAAGACCCTCGGCGGAAGGCGACAGGACCTTCAAAACCCTGAATGGCTCAACGCCTCTTTCATTTTCTACAACGAGAAGGCCCAAGCCGTGCGAGTCCGAGTCCGAGACTGTCTCGACACCAAAAAACTCGGCTACGTCTACCAAGACGTGGAACTCCCATGGCTCCAAACCCGCCCCATGCCTCGTGGAGCCCGGAAGGCGGCGAGACATCCAAAGATGAAGTTTCCGGTAACTCTGAAGTCGGCGATCAGTACGGAAGTGAAGAGGGCGAAGAAATCAAGAAGCAAGAAGGAGAAAGAGGAGGAAGAGGAGATTTTGGTGATTGAGGGAATCAAGTTGGACCCCAACATGCTGGTAAAGTTCGATATTTATATCAACGACGAAGATGAGAAGGAAAATAGAGCCGACATTACTGAGTTCGCTGGGAGCTTTGTGAACGTGCCGCATAAGCACGGACACAACAAGAAGGTGAAGACGGGGCTTAGGTTGGGGATAACTGAACTGCTTGAGGATTTGGGTGCTGATGGTGACGACAGCATCATCGTCACTCTCGTCCCCAGGCTTGGAGCTGGGCTCGTCTCCATTGCTAAGATCAAGATCGAATATGGAGATTAATTTCTTCGGAAACTAAATTTAAAATAAAAGAAGGCTTCCAGGTTTGAGGCTAATAATTCCAAACAACTTCCATTCTATTTGCATCTTAATTATAACTATAAACTTATAAAATTGTATTAATTTTAATCATCAACTTTTAATTTTATCAAATTACACATCAAACTTAGATGAGTATTAATCTTAACATTAAAAGTTAAAAGTCTTGCAATTTAACTCCTTAATAAAAAAAATAAAATTACATAAAAATGTACAATATGAAATTAATAAAATAATTTTTTTTTTTTTTAATTTAAGAATTTTGGCACAATTTTGTAATGATTAATTTATGTATGAAATTTGTGCAAAATTTTATTTTATTAAAATCAATGAGATTTTTAAAATTTGCATACTACTTACTTTATTTTATTTTTTGTTAGAATAAGTGAACGTATTAGTTGAATTTGAAATTAATTATTAAAGTTTAGCATTTAATTTAATTAAAAGATATTTTATATATTCATCCCCTTCGTAGTTCAAACCTATTTTTTTTTTATAAAGAAAATATAACGCAATCCGACAGTAGGGACTGACCATTTTGATTGTCCGAAAATATTATTTTACTTCACTTGACCAACTACGCATGAGACTTTTTATAACTATTTTACCTCTTTTTCTTTATTTTATCTTTCAATGGCTTCCATGACAAAAACGTGGGTTTAGTAATAATTTTAGTTAACTTTGGTCTTAATAAGTTAGGTAACTTCAATAAGTTAGTAGTTAAAGATGTTGGAGAAACTACAAGCTGAAGACATTAACCAAACTACAAGTTAAACATCTTCAATAAGTTACACGTCAAAGATCTTTTACATGCTCCAAATTGAAGATCTTTAACAGATTTGAAGTTAGAAGACTTTCCACCAGTTTTATAATAATTTGCTTTTCCATATATTCCAATCATATATAAATTTGAGAACTTTAAAAATTGCGTATGCATGAATAGAAATCTAACACAAACTTATAATGATTGATGTCAAACAAAGTCGAAGTCCGATAGGCCTGATTTGATTGAATTGGATTGGAGGAAGAACATTTGATTCATCCCCAAGCAAATGGTTCAAAATCTCAAATGTGCCTTTTAAGTGTCCTCCATATCAAAACAATACAGAAAAAGAAAAAAGAAAAAAAAGAAAAGAAAACATTTGTATTTATTAATATAAACATAAATGTCCCATTAATAGAACAGTTGAATCCGTACGATAAATACAAATAATTAATGGACTTTTATTTTGGTTAAAAAGGTCTACAAACTCATTTTCTTTTTCTCAAATATATTCAATTAACCTTTAAATTCAGCTCTAAAATTTGTCACAATTTGGATTGCGTACACAACATTATCTTGCATTTTTCCTTTGAATATTCAAATTTCAAAATTATATCTATATATTATAAATAAATAAAAAAAATTCAACATTCATATAGATTTCAAATGTAGGGTAAAATTATTATGGCTATATTCATGAAAATGAAATGTCTTGGTAGATGTGGATGTTTGGTATTTTTTTTTCATCCACCACAACCCACGAGGAAGTGGGCAAAACCATTACTCTTATCTAAATTAATTTCATTATCGAATACCGACTAATTATAATTAATTAAATATAATTAATACAACTTACTTTAGCATAATTCTTGGGAAATTTAGTTTTTATATTTTATTGGGAAATTTAAAAACTAATTTTTTTTTTATCCAAATTTAATTTTTATTGGGTTATTGAAGGCTTTGAAATTTAATTTTTAATTAAATTCTTTGAAAATGATGTGTAAAATAATCTGATTTTGAAAAAACGGTTGACTGTTTGATTAATTAATAACAGAACACGTGCGTAGTTGGCCCTCCGAACTATATTATTTTAATGAATTAAATGAATTTTTTTTTAAAAGAAAAAAAATTTAAGACCACATGATAAAGTCATTGGAGTCGTACGTTTAGGTTATCCAAAACGACGTCGGGATGTGAGTGGAGGGCAATTCATTTACGTCTCAATTTCAATTTTCAAATTATTATTTTTATTTATTAAATCTTACCAACTACTGATTGGGTGGATATTAAAAGAACTAAAATCTAATATTTCCATATTTTTCAATGTTTATCTCAAAAGTCATTATTTATTTATTTATTTTAATAATGATGAGGTTGGACGTAGAAATAATGTATTTTCTTTTTTTTTTTTATAAATAAGAATATTCTATATCCTTATAACTGTATGAATATTTCTTTCTTTGCTATTTATTTTTAATATAGTTAATTATTTAACGGTAGTAAATCAATAATAATCCACTTTTTTATTTGCTGAACTGAAGTTATTGATTAATTAGTTAAATTAAGCTAGAATAATTAATTATTTATATTAAAAATTTTCATATATGGTTGTGAAAAAAATGATAAAAATAAGCGCATGATTTATTTTTAGTTACATATTTCTTCTAAGAAAATTTACCAGAGATCACCCAACTTAAAATTACTCTAAACAAAACAAGCTCAATTTTAAAGTTTCTATAATTCAGACACTAAAAGGAAATATACACTTTATTGATATAGATAGTAACTTTCAATTGGTCTTTATTAGCCATTCTACTTTCAGGATCACCTCGATGTAGTTTCGATTCATTCACCGTTTCTTTACTCAGGTGTCACGTGCCCACTAACTTCTTCTTTGATTTGTCCTTGAATCACATATTAATAAGGTGTCGCTATGTTACTGCTTGTAATGTCTCATTTCCAAGATTCAATGCAATCCTATAAAAAGTTTGCAGTTAAACATACTTTGAAGTATGTAAATGAAAACAAAACATGTCTAAAAAATTCGTGTTGTTTGTGGGAATAGTCTTTACTTTTAGAGATAAAAAGTAAATATCATGAGTATATTGCACGTGCATGACCTCTCAGAGGTGGCAAGTTGGCACTGACATATCCAACCAATTATAATGACTACATTGTAGTTTTTAATTTAAATTATAAAATTTCTAAATAATTAGTTTATAGCAATTTAATAATAATAATTAACTTACTTTTTTCTGACGTGGGTATAATAAATATCGCATCGACAGAGACCTATTCCAAGGTTGAAGGTTCAACAAGCTGGAACATTTGTGAATGTCTACAACTACGGTGTGTCGGTAATTGCCACGTCAACATGACGAAATTGGACGCAAGAATCTCTTGAGATTCCTTAAAATTGTTCGTCAATAATTTTTAAAATTTATGAAATTGTAAATTTACTAGAGATAAAATTTTATTATTTGAGATAATTAAATATTTTTTTAAAATTGGTAGATATAATGGATACAAAATTTGGGAAAACTTATGATTAAACATTATTAAAAAAAAAGTAAAAAATAGGTAAAATTAATATAAAATTTTTAGTTGAGACAATTAAGATAGATTTTTTGGGGTTATAAATAGTAGGCAGACAAGTGGGATTTGAAATAAAGCATCTTTGATTCAATAACCAAGCAATGGCTTCTCTACCACCACCAGCTCTTTCCACCGCCGCATTTCGCCCATCATCCAGCCTTCGAACATCAAAATACCTTCCCATTAACGCTGCACGAATTTTGTGTAGCGCCGCCGATGGCAAAATTGATAGAAGAGACGTTCTTATTGGGATAGGCGCAGGCGGCCTCTACGGAGCTTCGTCCTTCACCAAAGATTCCACCTTTGCCCTTGCCGCTCCAGTTCAAACTCCCAACATTAGCAAGTGTGGCCCACCAGACTTGCCACCTGGCGCCGATCCAACCAACTGCTGCCCGCCTCCGACCACTTCGATCATCGACTTCCTGCCACCGGCGCCGGGAAAACTACGCGTCAGGCCAGCTGCCCATTTGGCGGATCAAAGCTACATAGACAAATATAAGAGAGCCGTTGAGCTAATGAAAGGGCTGCCCGAAGATGACCCACGTAGCTTCATGCAACAAGCGAACGTTCACTGTGCTTATTGTAACGGAGGGTACGACCAAGTGGGGTTTCCAGTTGAGGTGCAAGTTCATAACTCGTGGCTGTTTTTCCCATTTCACCGTTATTATCTCTACTTTTACGAGAAGATATTGGGAGAGCTAATTGGAGATCCCACCTTCGCCTTGCCCTTTTGGAACTACGATGCTCCTGGGGGTATGAAAATGCCAGCCATGTACGCCGACCAAAACTCGTCCCTTTATGACCAACTTCGGAACCAAAATCATCTGCCGCCAACATTCATAGATCTGGATTTCGATGGGGTTGATTCAAACATAGGCGATAATGCGCAGATAAGAAGTAATCTTAGAATTATGTATCGCCAAATGGTTTCCAATAGTCGTACCCCCAAGCTGTTTTTCGGCAGCGCCTATGTAGCCGGAGACGAACCATCACCAGGTAATGTTTTAGTATAACATTGAGCATAAATTTTCGTGATTTTAATTTTTATTTAGCCATTATTTTTCTTTTTCTCAACTTCTACGTTATTCAACCATTTTTTTAAATTATAGATTAATTTTAAATTCATAAAAGTGAAAAAAAAAATTATTTGGTGGAATAATTTTTGGTTGGATAGAATATTGGATTAATTATTCTGAGAACGTTGGATGATGAAAGTCCCACCTCAACTCTTTTAGGGAATGATTATTAGTTTATAAACAAATAATAGGGTTCGTAGGAGGAGTTTTGGGAAAGCTTAGTCATAAGAGCGGAGTTTTGGGAAAGCTTAGTCATAAGAACTTATGTTCAAAGTGGACAATATCATATCATTGTTGAGAGTCATGTTGGTCTAACCGAGTATACACAAAATGATAGGAGGTGGGTCGGTGGAGAACATCCCACACAATACGGTTCACACATGGTGCGGCGACAACAACGAGCCCAACCTAGAGAACATGGGCAACTTCTACTCCGCGGCCAGAGATCCCATCTTCTACTCCCACCACTCCAACATAGACCGAATGTGGTCCGTCTGGAAGACCCTCGGCGGAAGGCGACAGGACCTACAATACCCTGAATGGCTCGACGCCTCTTTCATTTTCTACAACGAGAAGGCCCAAGCCGTGCGAGTCCGAGTCCGAGACTGTCTCGACACCAAAAACCTCGGCTACATCTACCAAGACGTGGAACTCCTATGGCTGGAAACCCGCCCCACGCCTCGTCGAGCCCTCAGAGCCCAAAAAAGCGTCGACAGTAATGTCCCCTCCAGGCGCGTGAAACCGGCAAGGATCAAGTTCCCGGTGACTGTGAAGTCGGCGGTCAGCACGGAAGTGAAGAGGGCGAAGAAATCAAGAAGCAAGAAGGAGAAAGAGGAGGAAGAGGAGATTTTGGTGATTAAGGGAATCGAATTCGACCCGAACACGGCCATTAAATTGGATGTTTATATCAACGATGAAGACGACAGCGAAATCAGAGGCGATAATACAGAGTTTGCAGGGAGCTTTGTGAACGTGCCGCATAAACATGGGCACAAGAAGAAGGTGAAGACGGGGCTTAGATTGGGGATAAGTGAAGTGCTTGAGGATTTGGAAGCTGATGATGACGACAGCATCATCGTCACTATTATCCCCAGGCTTGGAGCTGGTCTCGTGTCCATAGCTGAGATCACGATGGAATATGGAGATTAATTTTAAGTTTATTATATTTCTCCCTACGTTCTATGGCAAAGTAATTTTTTTTTCTTTCTTTTTTTTCAAAAGGGTTAGAGACTGGGAAGGGCAGAAGTTATTTTACCTGTTTGTTTAATAATTCCATCTTTATTGTTTCATTTTATGTTTTAAGATTTTTAAATACTTAAAAAAAATTGATTATTGAGAATTGTTTGATTCCAGGAGAAAGGAGAGGACTGTTCAAGATTGTTGAGAGAGAAGTCTCAATTCTCTAATTTAGAGAATGATATAGATTTATAAGGAATATATTGGTACCCGCCCTTTTATAAAAACCTAAAAACAAAGCCACCAGAGCTTATGCTCAAAGTGGATAATAGAATTTTCGAAGGTAGTTAAAAGTGACTAAAGGGTCGATACTTAATAATATAATCATAAAAATAATGTGATGCATAATAATAGTAGAAATGATGCATAATAATAGTAGAAATGATATATGAAGTAAAACAGGAATTAACTAACAAGGTTAAACAAAGGCCCACCAATCGACCCTCGAAGAAGAAAATTTCTCATCTACCATATTCCTCCATGGAAACTTGTGGGACATTATTGATCGAAGAAATGTTCTTTGGCCCCTTTTATAAAAACCTAAAAACAAAGCCACCAGAGCTTATGCTCAAAGTGGATAATAGAATTTTCGAAGGTAGTTAAAAGTGACTAAAGGGTCGATACTTAATAATATAATCATAAAAATAATGTGATGCATAATAATAGTAGAAATGATGCATAATAATAGTAGAAATGATATATGAAGTAAAACAGGAATTAACTAACAAGGTTAAACAAAGGCCCACCAATCGACCCTCGAAGAAGAAAATTTCTCATCTACCATATTCCTCCATGGAAACTTGTGGGACATTATTGATCGAAGAAATGTTCTTTGGCGTTCTCTTTTCATGGCTTACTTACAGAAACTCTGGGGTTAAACCCACTATATTTGAAGCAATTCTATATTGAATCACCTACTAAAAATTTTACTAGAATGTATGCGAGTGGGACGAGAGCAGGTTGGAAGAATTCATGTTGAAACACTATAGGTTAGAAGGACTTGTGTTTATCTGTGAGGATAGATTTTTATTTTTAAGAAGTAAAGAATAAGTAACCTAACAATGTGGCACGAGAATGTCAAAACCATCCCGCGTTGAATAACCAAGCAAATAAGAGATTTTTAATTCATATATGTCGGAAAAAAACTAATGTAAATGAGATAAAAGCATTAAATAGTTTCATACATGTGACAGTACGTAGTTCAGACAATAATTTTGATCCATCCACATGAAACTTTATAGTTTGGTAGTTACTTGTCGACTCATAATTTTTTTTTTTTTTTTGGGTGGAGTTCGTCTATTTAACTCCATAAGACTATTCTTTTAGATTTATGAAATTGTATAAACTAAATCTAAAGTTGGACGATTGACAATCCCAAATTTGTCGTCAATGAATTACGTATCTAAGATATTTATTATTTGGTTAAATAATTCATTTGTATTACGTACATTTCTTGCAATAATGGATATGAACTGTAATTGATTTCTAATAAATATTTAATAAAAAAAAAATTGTTGGAAGTTTGTAACAATAACACCACGTGAAAAATATTTTTATTTTAAATATCCAAAAAAAAATAATAATAAATCACGGACTTTTATTTTATAATCCATTAAATATGCTTGAAAATATATTTCTTAAAAATGATTCTCGACAAAATATATATATGTATATATATATATATTTTAAAAGTATAAAAGTATTCAAATTATCTAAAGTAGTGCAATTCGATAAAATAAAGTGGGTGTGAGGTACGAGTGGTTGTGTGGTGGTTGTATGTTTAGTTAATGAAAGGATAGCCAAAACCCGAAAAAACGTGGTGGATAAAGAAGAGGTACTAAACAATCTCTATGAAAGAAGTGTACATCAAGACGGTGGATAATGTCGTTTCAATGTGTCTCTCCGGTGAATTTATTTTTTGTTTTTTTCAAAATGTTTCATACTAACAGAGATAATAGTGGATGCTAACAAGTTAATTTGGGATCAACAATTCAATTCAATTCAGTACCCATACAATTACATACAATCACAATTACAATGGTGTAATATTGAAATCTGGTAATAAGATGGAACACAGATGTGGTTGTTGAGATGTTTTTTTTGTGTTCTTGGTGGCCTTCAAGATCCTCTGTTTTATGTAGGGGTAGAGTATAAGCATGAATGGAAGAGAGGTCTGATACAAACATACATATAAACTCATAATAATTAGGTAATGTTTACAGGGTTCTATCCAGAAAGAGGGAGAAGGTGAAGCAACATGAACAAATACCATTCCACAAATTCAAATGCTACACCTCACATGGATCACTGATTCGTTCTTTTTTTTTTGTTTTTCCTGCTAAAAAAAAGGAGAAAACACATGAAAACACAACTTCAAAACAAACAGGATAGAATCATAGGTCCTCAGATTCACTCTCTATTTCTAGAGCCAATTCTCGGGTCAGCCTATCGGCGCGTTCGTCGTGTCCACCGGCGAACGTGTAAACTCGGTATGCCAATTGAAATGCCCTCCATAGCATCTTAGGACATCCCTTGTTTGAGTTTTCGGATCGGACTCCGTTTCGTGTTGTCTCTGCTGCTGCCTGCTTCAACTCTCTCTTTTCCTGTATCGACCATACAAATCACGTTAGGTTTCGATAGTTATAACTCAACTCAACTCAATCGAGTGATTGACAACCTTTAGAGCTAATTCCATGCAGCTGGAAGACACGTCCACCATTGATTCCTTGATCCGTATTAACACGTTGAAATCAAAATGAATGCGGTGACTCTGGAATCTCTTTGATTCATCGTCCTTCGTTCGCTCGAGTGCATCGACTTCTCCTTTGATCTGTATGTGTTTAGCAGAGCCAAAAGCAAATGCTTTGTTACGCGGACTTAGATCTTATATTCAAAGTGGATAATATTATATCGGAGTGTCTATAAATCCAAATAGAAATAGGTATTGAGAACTACCTTGTTGAAGTAGCTTTCAACTCGGTCCAGAAGTTGTCCCATGGGAGAAACAATGTTCCAATTCTGTAACTGAGAGAGCATTGCATCTAGCTTTAAGTATAACGCTGCTGCAGTCCTTAAAGCTTCCAACTTTTTTGTGGGAAATCCTTCAAATCTTGCTAGAACCTTCAAGATTGAGAAAATGCAGCCTACCCATTTGAATAACAGGTTGAAAGCAACGATTAAGAAAGTGGGCAAGGCAGGATTTGTACAAACCTGTGATTCATCGGTTAAATTCTCCAATACAGATTCCACTTTCTTGAGGAAAACGAGTAGCTCGTTCATGTCCGGTGACTGGAAAGCTGAAATGGAAGTTATAAGCTCTGTGATTGGCATTGCGTGTTTTTTAACGTCTTCTTCAATTTGCTGAAAGTAGGCTGATCTGAAACATCCCAAAAGAAACAACATTAATTCTATTGCATTTGTCGTGCAGTTTATAACAGAGAATCTAACCGTTTTGTCATCTCTGCCAAGGCATCAGCCATCCCCTGTTTTCCTCCGGAGCTGCTCCCAACGCCGCCTTTTCTTCCATTAAACGATGTAAGATTTTGATTGGATCCTTCCACCTTCCCTTTGAGTTTCCGGTACAGACTTCCCAATTGATGGGATCTCTTCAGTTTAGTAGTGGCTTTCTTGGGGCGCAATGATCGAATTGCCCCACCTGGAGGAGGTGGCGGTGGAGCAAACCCATTGCCTTGAGGTATTGGAGGAGGTGACGGTACAAGGTTTGATGGTGGTGGTGGTGGTGGTGGTGGTGGTGGTTGTACTGCGACTTTAATCGCCTTTTTTATTACCTTTGACAGTGGTGTAGGCGGCGCAGGCGCAATAGGTGCAATAGGCACGGCTGCAGCAGGCAGTACCTTGATCCGAGGCAATGGTGGTGGTGGAGGTAGTTGTAAAGAATGAGCCAATACTGCATTTTGTTGCACCATTGGTGGTGGTGGTGGTGGTGGTGGTGGTGGTGGTGAAGGTGGTGGCGATGGAGGAGGCAGAGGAGGTCCCGGTGGTGACAGTTTTGATGCAGGAAGTTCTTGAAAATCAACATCATTAGCTCTCTCAGGACTACCCTTTTGGCTAGCTTCACCTCCATCACCAGCATCAGTCTTTTCAGAGCTGAGCTGAGCTTGTCCCTTTGGGGCAGGGCGGACATTAACACCACAGTGAGACAACGTGGGGAGCAAAACTCGCTTGACATCAAAGGGGTTCAACATTTCCATAGATTTCACTCTAAGAGACCACAAAATGGGAGAATTACACGACACTTTCTCCATTCCAGATAACTTTCTTTCGCTGTTGCGAAAATTTGCAAGAACGGACGTGGGAGTTTCAGGAGAAGAACAGCAAGGGCTATTGGTTTCAGAGCAGGAATCTGTTGAGATCGAGCTCTTACCAAAGGAACTAGTTCGTGAATACGAGGAGCTCTTCGAGTTAACGTATTCGTCCATCATATCAAACCTTTCGTTTGCCATATTAATGATGCAATCAATGATAGCCAACACAGATTCAACTACATAAAGCAAAAGTTTTCATCAATTATGGTCCTAATTTTCTCTACAGAAACTGTTTACAAAATTGAAAACTGACCAATTTCAGTGAAGCTCGAGTTTTCCTTATATGATGGCAAATTATATTTTGGTTTGTCCTTCCAATCATGGTTCAGCATCCAAGATTCTCCGATCGATTTCAGCGCAGTGCAGAAGTAGGAGAGACTCTGATACATAAATTCAAAAGCTCATTCCATAATCCGAACAGAACAGAGCAGAACAGAGCATAACAGAGCAGAACAGGACAAACCTGTTCGATACGTGTGGCATCCATTTCGGAATATTGGATGTCCGATATGAGTTCGGGGTAGAGCTTTTGAAGGTCTTCCATGGTTCCGACCACCAGCTGCCAGAACCCATGACGAATTAAGATATTTGAAACGAACTAAACAGATTGGAGGTGAAGAAGAAATGAAGAAAAAGATACCTCATTTATAGAAGAAGAGAGTTGTAAAGGAGGCAAGTCGATGATGTCTCTAAGAATCAAGATTTTCCTGCGGAGCTCCATGACTTGAGAAAAATTGTCTTTGCGCTTCGATGACTTCCTACCTTTAGCAAGTCTGGATAGCTTTGATTTATTTGTGTACGTCTTCGGGAACACGTAAGAAGGGCTCTTCATTGTCTACGACAGGAAAACACAACACGTAAGAACAACATCTGGGTGTTCTGTTTCATCTCATGTTTTGAAATAAAAACCCCAAATTTGAAACAAAAAATCGAGCTTTATAAAGGAAACCCATTTCAGAAAAGAGAAAAGATGGAACAAACCTCGAGGTTATAAGACTTCTTACGAAACAGCAAAGGGCCTAAACCACACCAGCCATTGGTAGCCATGGAATGTGAGGTAAAGAAGGGTTAAAAAGAATTGAATGAAATAATGGGGTGAAGGGATTTGGGGGTTTTTTGCAGAAAAAATGGTGTTTTGTTTTGTAAATTCCTGTGGTCAACGATGTTGAAGTTCTCTCAAATACAAAAAAATGAAACGAAAAAGAGGTATTCTAGGGCTTTTGAAACACAGCATGAAAGAGCAGATTCAAAGTCGAATTCAATCAAAAGAGAGAGAGAGGAGGAAGAAGAAGGAAAAAAAGAAAAATAAAAAAAATAAATAAAAAAAGAACCAAATGGAATTTACTGCATTGGAACCTTCTCTGTGAAGAGACAGCCAAGAAGAGGCGGAAAGACAGATGAGGTTTTATCGAAGGGATACACAATCCACAGTTCCTAAATTACAGGAACTGGATGCCTCCAATGAAACTAGGTTTGGTTTGACATTTTGGTGTTGTTCTTGTTCTTTGTTCATGTTCTTTACCAGATTCCTGTTTTGTAATTTTTACTTGGTTTGTTTGTTAAGCTTATGATCTGTATACTAAATATAGCCATCATTTTCTTAATCTTTACTCATATAGCCTTAACAACTAATAACAAATCATTAGTTAATTAAGGTACAACAAAACCAATGGTGTCCACATAGTCATAGGAAAAAGTTGGTCTTGTACGCAGACATGCACACAAACAACAAGGTTGACACTACTTGACACAACCCAATTCATCATTTCTCCTATCCGCTTCTAGTAAATCTCCACTCGGGTCTGTTTCTCGTACTTGTTGCAATCTAAATACGTATGAATGAAGTATCATATACAATAAATTTGTATAAAACTCAATATGCGAATCAATCTTAATCATGAGTAAATTATAAATTTGTATATGTAACTTTCGTTGGTTTCTTAATTTACCTCCGGACATGGACGAGGTTTATATTATACGTACAATGTAACATGATAGTTAGGATAATAATATAAACTATAAGTAATATAATATTATACGATGGAATTTTAGCGATGACTTCGTAAAGAAGGTAGCCTTAGAGAAGAAGGAAAGTCTGTTGAAGTTTTCGTCACCAAAATGTACGATTAATGAAGGGGCCCCACTTCCTTGCTGACTTTTCTCGGTCAAACCATCGTTTCTTCGCCACGTGGCTATTCTCCTCCTATCCATCTTAATTTCCAACTTTTAGGCTATTAATTTATTTACGAAACTACTTTATATTAAAAATCTTTTATAATAATTATTATTAAACCAGATTTCTATAATTGATAATATATATTTTTTAATTAATAAAAATTAAAAATGCTGTTTTCGAAATTTACATTATTTAAAATACGTGGTTTGAAAAAAAAAATTAAAATTACATTTGTCAAACATATATTGGTTGAAATTAGTGCATCCAAAAATAAAAATAAAAATAAAATAAAAATGACTTGTTTTCTCGTTTTAATGAATTAAATTATCTTCTTTTTTTTTTTGTAATTAAAATTAATTTTAAATAAAAATATATATAAGGTTGCTTTCCACAAATTTCCTAGTGTACCTTTAATAACTTTCATATAAATAACATTTAAGGTAGACGGTTAACACATGCTACTCAGTTATATCTGCACAGTTGTTTGAACATAAATTCTCGTGACTTTACTTTTAGTTTCTTCAAAAATTTTCGTGTCAATGGAGACTGTTTTTTATTTATAAACCCGTGATCTTTCTCTTAATTAGCCAATGTGGGATTATTTCTCTCAATAGTGCTCAATAATACTTATTTCGAACAAAGTACACCATAGAGTCTCTCTCGGGAGAAGGTTTAGAACAGTTTAGTGCAATCGTAATGCACGAGAAACCCGAGTATGCAAAATGGGGCGCAAGAAACCAATACACATAAGCATAGACTTTGTCAAGAGGTGTGTCTTTTTGGGTTCCTCTATTCTCTTTTATTGGACGTGTTTGAAGGGCTTTAATGAATATCGAAATGTAATTGTTTTAAAGAGTCAAAAATACAACTGCGAAACCCATCTCTTTTGGTTTTTGAATTCAAACCCTAACCCACTTTTGGTCATTATTCCAACGACGCCATTTTCTATCTCCATATATATATAAATATAAACACCACAATTCTTCATTCCTAACAAACCAACCCCTAAACCAAGCCATGCAACGTTATTTTTCATCTCTCCCCAGAAACCACCTAATCCCCTCCACAATCCTCACTCGTCGCAACCACGTCCGATCCATGTCGCAGCGGTGCGACGTCTTCATAAACTACCGCGGCGTCGACACCCGACGGAGCATCGCTGGCTTGCTCTATGACCATTTTACTAGAATAGGGCTCCGCCCATTCTTAGACAGCGCCAACATGAAACCAGGAGACAAACTTTTTGGGGAGATTGAGGAAAGTATTAGGAGTTGTAAGGTGGGAATTGCGGTGTTTTCGCCGCGTTATTGTCGGTCTTATTTTTGTTTGCATGAACTTGCTCTAATGGTGGAGAATAAAAAGAAGATCATACCGATATTCGTCGACGTTCGGCCGTCGGAGCTTCATGTCGAGTTTAACCGAAACTGTCCCGAAAAAGAGATGGAGAGGTTCAATTGGGCACTTGGAGAAGCCAAATACACCGTTGGACTCACCTTCGACTCCATTAACGGGTAATTATTTCTCAATAAAATCGTGGCGTAATTTGTACCCAAAAGCACTCATGTTGTGTGATTATCTTGTTAGGGATTGGTCGGAGCTGCTCAGAAAAGCTTCAACCGCCGTCATTGATAATCTGGTCGCCGGAGAAGCGGTAGAGATGCCGGGAAATTAAGCCATGTAAATGCATGCATACTCAAATTTGATTAATTTCAATATACACTCAATTTTTTTTTCTTTTTTAATTCTTTGTGGAATAGGGGTTTTGATTAACACAAATTTCAAGAGATTCAATTGTATTGTTCGTACTATCATTTAATAAAAATTTGTTCAAATTCTTTGATAACTTTCTTGGTCGAAATGTTTGAGAGACAATGGATTGTACACGTTTATACTCTAAACTTTTAAGATTTCTACCTATTTAATTACATTTTTATACTCTCACATGGGTTCGAAAGGAGAGCGAAACATTCTTTTTTTAAAAATTGTGAAATTAATAGAACGAGTCAAAATGGATAATATCTATTAGCGGTGGACTTGAAGCTCGCTTGCCCCGAATGTGGTGGATTAAAAGATCCCACATTGATTTTAAAATGAGCGGTTCCAAGTGAGTCTATGGTCGATATATTAATAGGCCGGTTACGCTAATAGCTTTATAAAAAAATAATGATTTATTAGTTATCAATTTAAATTCTATATAATGAAATATTATGGAATTATTTATATAAATAAAAATATATAAGAAAATTAGTTTTCATAGGTGCCTTTGATATACATATATATACATACATATATATATATATTTATTTATTTATTTTGTATGAAGGGTCACATATATATGTGCGCATATGGGGAACTAAAATTAATTAAAGATAAGAAGATGATAAATGAAAATCATGATAAATATGTGCGTATGGGTAAAGAATATTAAAGTATTAATAATAATAATAATATATATATATATATATATATATATTTTGGTGTCAAAATAAACTAGAAAATAAAATAAAAATCTAAAATGTTATTGATATATTTTGAATGAAGAACATGAATTTTGTTTTTATTAGGCCCTGGATGTCACGATGCCTATACTTTTGTTTCAAATTGATATTTATCTCTTTAATATTTTAAATATTCAAAGTTTTTAATATTCATGGGGTGTGAACTCGAGACAAATAAAAATTCAAGATTTTAGAAGTTATTAATGAAAATCACTTAAACTTTCAAAAAAATAAAATAATAATAATAATAATTCCGGCTTGTATATATTATACAATATATAATCTAAATTTTTATTTATTTTGAATGAAGGTTAAAATATGCCTCTTAAATTAGTATGTCAATAAATTATTATTTAATTAAATATCATTTTTATATCTGACCATTCTTTAAGGTAGTTTGTTTTAATGAATTGATACATAAATTAATATTTAACATTAGGGTTAATATATATACTTTGTTGTGATTTATTATTATTATTATTATTATTTAGTTGGTATAGGGGTGAGTATTTAGGGTATAAAAACCGTTATAATGATATAAGGAATTGGTCAAAATTATGGAAGAGTTGGGAGGTAGTCAAAAGTGAGGTAATATATTAGAAGTCAAACTTCAAGGTCTATCAATATTAAAATTCAAATTTCTTTTCCATCTTAAATACTCAAATTCTCTTCCAAATTAAATTCTGGACCACCGTACTAATACTTTAAATCATAAAAAAGTTAATTTTATTACGAACCACTATCTTGATTTTTTTTTTTTTTTTTTGTCATTGTATAATATAATATCTAATCGAACTGTTCGTGACTATTTAGTTCATATATTTATGATCGTTTAGTCCTTAAATTTTAATAATCTATAATGATAAAAAAAATATTGTGAGAATTTAGTGAATTTATTTATAAATTATAAAAACCTTTTAAAAAGAATCATCATCAAAATTTGGTTAGTTTGAATGTTTCACTTTCAACAAAGTGTCTACACGTACTTTTGAACTTGACAACTATAAACAAACAAATCCAAAACTTTTATTTTGGTGTTAAATAATAATATAAAATATATTTATCTGACGTATTTTTTATTCATTCAAACATCTTAAATAAAATCTCACAAAACATTGTTTTCATTTTCATTTTATATAATTATAGAATTATTCAATTACCTTTCCATTTTTTTTCTATCGTTCTTAAATATCATAATTTTAAATAAAAATGAGTTTTATTGTTTATGAGCATCCCGAACCTAAATTTAAGAAATTTGAATTCTCAATTAACCTAAATTCCACAAAATATAACAAAAATAATAATAATAATTTTGAGGGTAAAATATGTGAATGATGGGAAAATAATAGAAATAAAACCTTATTCTATGTATT